GGGGTGCGACAGGCCCCGCAGAACACTTTGAAGTCGGGGGTCTGAGGGGCAAACAGGTTCATTCAGGTTTTGTAAGTGAGGCTGAATGAAGAAAAAAACCTGTTTCTGTCATTACGGATCATTATTGCAGCTCTGCGGAGGRTTCAGGTGTTCCCCTGATGAAGGAAGCCCCACCCTGACTCATCCCTGCCTTTGATTGTCCCTGAAAGACAACTGTATGATTTAGATTTTTACAACAAAAACTTTACAGCTTTGCTCTTTCATTCATCCGTCTTGAAGGAATGCATGTCACCCCTATATCTGTTGAGAAATGATGTCACTTTTTGATCACACCTTGAAAATAAAATTCCTCACACAATCTGTTCTCAGAGTGTTGATGACCCTACACCACATTCTATTATCTGTAAAACTGAGACGAGCTAAAGCATATTTTGTGTTTCATATGACGGCCATCTTGGATTGCTTCCAAAAGTTAGTCCTTTCTAAAAGATTCCTTCAAATTTGTCCAGTAATCCACTTAAAATGAAGCACAAACAGGTTATGATGCTTTTCATAGATGTTTTTGTCATTTATTGAAACTGAAATGCAAAATCAGAGTCCGCTATAGTGAAGTCCATTCTTACAAACAGAATTTAAGGGTCAATAGCAGCCAAAAGCTGCTCATCAAATGCATCGATTAGCCTCATTTATCACCATTAAATGTCTGTACCTCCAAACAGAAGCCAATGTGGCTCATAGGCAGGATTTTAGGTGGTGCTTCCTTTGTGCAATTTTCACTGCTAATTTACATCCATTCACATCCCAGATTGAAGAGTTTTGTTTTTGACATCATTTTTTAACTTTAGATACCAGTTTATTTAGTTCAAATTAAATATAATTAATTTAAAAGAGAAAAACAGGAGTCCGCCTCAAACCTGCCAACATCTGCTGTCAACAATGAGGAACACCTGTTCATGATAACAGCTGTGGACCGAAGCAGTTCTAGGGGGGTCTGAGGGTACACTACTCCATCCATCCATCCATCCATCCATCCATCCATCCATCCATCCATCCATCCATCCATTTTCTTCCGCCTATCAGGGGTCAGGTCGCGGGGGCAGCAGCTTCAGAAGGGAGGCCCAG